TTCTTCTCCCTCGAGTCCCTGAGCGACGAGGCGTCGAGGGGCGATCCATCCCCCCCCCCACCCCGCGGCGATGGCGCGGAAGATGCTCGAGCGCGGGCGGAACCGAACGCCATGTTTGTCTTTCCCCCACCCGACAAGCCGGGCGCGGGGCCGCTTTCTAATGGGGATGCGTCTAAACATGTAGATCCGGGGTCTTGGGAGCGAAGGGAACCGGTTTAGTCTCTTGGTTTTATTAATATTAATCCTCTATTTATCAGAAAATGTGTTTTTTTTTTTCTTATATTGTAAAAAAAAAAAAGTTGTCTGAATACGTGTCTTAGATACTTCCAGAATCCACATTTTTTTTTTGTAGAAATACGTGTGCTGGGTTGTATCTTTTAAAATTTTACTGTCAAACTTTACAAAAAAAAAAAAGAAAAATGTATTGCATCAGATAATCGGAGTCATTTAGTTATTCTAGTATAACTTCAAAAGGAGGATATGAGGAGGTGTATTCCATCTTGTTGTATGTATGTTTGGATGATGAAATTCCCAGTATCCGCTTAACTATGAGGTTTGAATTCCACCTTTTTCTACGAAGAAGTCGTTGGAAATCACAAAAAGCGTCGAACCGCTAATGTATTTTTTTTTTATCTATTTGTATTTTCCAATAAAATTTTGTGATTGCCTGGATGCGTTTTTTTTCAAGCCTTTTAATTGCTTTTAGACGCTTTTCCCATCTTCAAATATTCCTCCGTATTATTGAAGAGTGCGGATGCCTATAACCGAAATAACATGGTATGACGCATGGGTTCCACCCGAGGGTTCGGCTCCCTCTCAATGTTTCACGCACTACCGATGAAGCGAGTTCTATGACCTCACGATTCTTCTTCTTCTTCCTCTTCTTCTTCTTATGACTACTACTAGTTGTTGTCGTTTGTTTGTTTTAGATGAGGTGGGTCAATTATTGAATCCTGGACACCTATTCTTTCAAATAAAAAAAATAAAATAAAAATAAAAATAAAAAAGACGAAAAAAAAAGCCAACCGCGCATCCCCTATCTCGAACCCAACCCAACCCCACAAATGGATCTTGAGTACCAAAAGCGCTACAACGAGCGCGCCGTGCAGGCCGGCGAGGCCTTTAACCGGGAGTGCCTGGACTACCTCGACGCGCACTTCCGCCACGCCGTCATCGAGTCGCTGCATGCCTGCCTCGACGACCCGCCCGCGCGGCCGGTGGAGTTCATCGCGGAGCGGCTTCGCCAGGCCGCGGGGAAAGCCGCCCCCGGGCCGCCGCCGCTT